AAGGTTCTTCCGGGTGTCAGAGTTAGGAATTCCTAAGATGAAAAAGGCTGGTGAGGGTTATGACCAGTTGGTTCTAGCATACTGAATTTGTGGGAGTCCATAAGAACACCAGTCGCTATGGCTGCGGGGTGCACGGGTGCTTGGGGGTGGGCAGAGAGCCCCAGGGTTTAGATCGCACTGGTGCGCCCACTTCTGACCTGTCCTTCGTCCTGTTTTGCAGTCGCTGGATTTGCACGACTCGGTGAAGGACAATACCCTGAGGGTCTCTGCCTTTAATATCCCACACACCAACCTCCACGAGTCAGTCTCCGGAATCCCCAACGCGAGGGCCACCTGGGCCTTCTACTCCCACTTGGAGGCAGACGCCGGCTCAGGGAAGTGGCGCACTTTCTAAGGCCCTAGCTGCAAGTCCAGCGGTGATGGGCGTGGAGGGAAGTGTGGTGGTCAGTCCGAAGCTGCTCCACAGGCGCCCGGAGCTGGGGTAGAGGCCAGGATGGCACGTGCGGGGTCGCAGCCCACTGGGTTTCTGATCATGGAGCAGCAGTCCGGGACAGGCCGGCGAGGCATGGGGCGCGCGGTTGGGCAAGAGAACCAGACAGCTGCCCAGGCAGTGTCTTGCTTTATCCTCCTCAGTAAAGCTGCCTGCCCCAGACGCGACCTCGCCCAGCTTGGGCGCCTGATCCCCCATCCCACCCCCCAGTCAATCAGGGTGGGCTCCCCACCGCCCCCACATCACCACGGAGCGACTGCGCCCCACAGCCGTGTGTCGCCAAAGATCTCTTGCTGTCATCAGTGACTCAGATTCTCAGTGATTTCGAAAACCTCTGGTTCTGGGTGGAAACAAAATCAAAACACAAAAATCAAACACCCTCAGGCAAAAAAAAAAGGAAATAAATAAGTAATGAGAAGAGAGAAAAAACCATCCTGAGCGCGGGCGGGCAAAGGTTCAATCCAGGCAGTGCTGTTTTCCCAGTGAATCAGACCCTCTTGGGCTCTGCGAGGGCACGAAGCAGCGGGAGACAGAGCGGGAGCCTAGACTTGCGCTCCCAGTGAAGCGCGAGCTCAGGCTGGTCCTCCCGGGTAGGCGGCTTCCGGACCGCAAGACAACGCACGGAAAACATTTTTACCACGTGAAACTAATCTGTCCTTTAATAAAGAGCCCAGCTACAAAGTTTGATAAAGAAACTGAGAAATGGGAAAATGTACCCTGTCCTTGGAAAGGCTGGGGAGGTGGGCCCAGGAAACACTCTGCAATAAACTGATTTCCGAACCTGGGGAGACCACACAGGCAGCTCCGATGGCCCGCAGATTTCCCGTGTTGCAAATCGCCGTGGCCTGATTTCATTCCTCTCTTCCCTACCTACACGTCTCCCTTCAGCGGTAGGGAAACTGCCCTGCCGGCGTCAGCTACAGCGACGTCCGGGGTCGGCGACGCAAGGCTGCTCGGTTCCCTTCGCGTTCTCTAGCGCAGTCCCGGGCTGCAAGGGCTCACTGTCACGCAGCCGCTCGATGGCCCCTAATGCAGCCGGGTTGCCGGGAACGCAAGAACCGCTGCCTCCAGGCCAGCTTCCTTGCTGAGTTGTAGACGGCACAAAGCAGGTTGCTTTCCCTGATGCCCCCACCCCCCCGCTTTTTTTTGGGGGGGGGGATTCGTGTATCCTCAGATGCGGGCGACGCGGGGTGGCAGGAAGAGACGACGGGCGGCTTTCTTCTGCGTGGTTCTTTTCCGGTCGGAGTCTGCGTCGCCGCCGACTCTGCCCAGAGCTCCCGGCCGCCGGCGAGAAGCCGGCTTGAGGCTCTCCTCCCCAGCTGCAGGTTGTGTTGCTTTTCTCCGCTGGACGGGGAGCGCAAGCCACTGCGGCCGCGAGCAGGAGAGCGCGGCCTGCGAGTCGGCGTCGCCGCGACCCCGCGCCTGTCTGTCCTTCTTGCACAGAATTTTCGGCGGGGTCCCCGTGAGTGCTACAAACCCTCCGGGAACCGTGGCCTCCACCTCGTTCTAAACTAAGGGGAATGGAAACTTGAACCTGGGGCCGTGCTGTGTTACGCTGACGTTACATCTGCTTATGAATTTAAAAGATGACCAAAGCGGCCCAACGGCGGGACAAGGCCGCCACCAGCGCCTCCACGCCGAGGCCCCTTCCTTCTCGCCGGCCTCTGAACCGAGTCTCCCTAATCCGGAGCTAGCAGGGTGTACTGGGGTGCTCCATTTCCACTCCCCACCCCGCACCCTCAAAGCCGGGGGCTGGGGACAGAGCTGCGCGGGGAGCAGGCAGCAGGCACGGGGGTGGCCGCGCGTCGGGACGGTGGACGCGGGTACAGACACACGGAAGTGCACCGAGTTGGGTCTCCCGGGAAGAATGACCGGGTGGCGCTATTTCCAGAGGAAAGAGCCTAGGGACCGAAGGAGGTGAGGGGGGCGGGTATTGCGACCCACGTCGGGCCGACCTCTGCAGCCCCTCCCGCGCCAGCTTGGGCCCCGGGGCACAGTCCTCGCCGGCTCTCGGAGTCCCAACCGAGATCACGCACAGCGCTCTCACCTGCACACTGAGGCTCCCCTCGGTGCCTTTTCTCCTTAAAGTTATTTGAGTATGGGGGGTATTTTGGTGGGCTTTTTTTTTTTTTTGGTTTTTTAACTTCCTTATTGTATCTGCAAGCCGCGCCTCCCGCCCCGGGCCGGCTCTGCGCTCTCCTTCCACTCCGGGCTCCGTCTCACGGGGAAAAGCTGGCCCGCGCCGGCGGGGTGACGAGAGGGCGACTAAGTGGCGCGCGCGAGAAAGGCGAGCACCTGGCCGACCTAGGTCCCGCCAGTACTAGAACTCTCAGCCTCAGGACCCCATCTTTGTACCCCGCTGAATCCGAGGACCACCCGGTCCCCTCGTCTGCCCCCAGCGGCTGAGAAACTCCGCACAGCCGGGACGCATGGGCGCTTAGGAGGGTTCTTGCTGGGGCCGAGGCCAGGCCCGGCGCACAGCGTGCCCGAGCGCCCCCTCTGTTCCTCCCGCAGGCCGCGGCCTCCACCCGAGGGGAGAGGCGAGCCAACACTCCTGTGGGGGATGGGCGCGCGCACCGCCGTCTGCCCGCGAGTCGCTCGGGTAAACACGCCCGGGTCGGCGGCGCGCGCTGCAGGGAACCCGGAGAAGCCAGCCCCGCCTTTACCTGTCCCAGCCTGCACGCGCCGGCGGCTAAAGCAGCGCGGGGGCGGGACTTTCCCCGCCCACCGCGGAGGCGGGACCTGGCGGGGGCGGAGCCCGCGGTGATTGGGCGTGGGCGCGGGGCCCCCAGTCTGAGCTGGGTTGCAGGGCCGCGCAGGTTTCACTTCGCTCCGCGCAGTCTCTGGGTCCTGAGCTAGTTGAAGCGCTGCGTTCAGAGCCTCGCGGTAGCCGCCAGCGTATTTTGGCAGTTCCCCTGTAAGCCTTGCGCCGCTGCGGTCAGCACTGTCTCCGGCAGCTCCAGTTGCCTTGCTCCCGCCGCCACCGCCTCGGTGCCCTTCCCTGGACCTGGTACCCCCAATGTCTGACTCTGATTCTCGAACTGAGAAGCGTAAGGTAAATGCCTCTGCATCCCGAGGAACGGGCTGGGGACGGGTGGAAGACTGGCGCCGGAGCCCGAGCGGCTTCAGCTAGTGCCGGCTTCCCGCGCACGTGCGGGCCGAGACGCGCGAATCCACACCGTTTATCGGCGGGCGTGAGCAAGCGATCGGTGCGGGACGGAGTTCCCCCGGGCAGGTCCAATCTGGGGAAGGGTCGTCGGCGCCGAAGCTGTGGCCACTTGGCCCAACTGTGGCTCCAGCCCGCTTACGCGCGGGGTGGCGGAGCTGCGCAAGGGGGAGGGCGCTTGTTTTCGGCACTGGCCAGGAAGCCGGGGACCAGCTTCGCGATACTGGGCTGCGCTCCCAGCCGGGAAGCCTCGCCGGCGGCCCCCGCGAAGCGGCCGAGATGTAAAGTGGGTCTCGAGTTTTGGCTGTTAGGTGCGAGCGTTTGCGGAACTGCGTTGGTGATTTAACTTGACAAACCTGGGATTTGTTTTTTAACTCCTTCAAGCGAAGATTTCGGGGCAGGAGCTGAGGACTTTCTTCTCGGACGTGCTTGGGGATCCTGTCAGATCTGCTTGCATCTTTTGCAGTGTGTCAGCCCCTGCCTGGATCCGCGAATAGAGAAAGGCCGAGGGCCTTTCCTCAGCCTACAGAACTTGCTCGGGCCCTGGAGCCAGGCTGTGCTAGCGGCTCGCGCGTGCCTGGTTGTTCCGGAACGCCCACCTTCGGCGGCTACTTTACTCCGGTGGAAGCTGCTTCCCGTAGTGGAAGCTGCTGCTGGAGGGCCCGCCAGACACCGGGGATAGGGTGTGAATGCATGCCCTTGGCCAGAGGTGAACGCTCAGATTGGCTTGGTGGTGTCCGCGGCGCGCAGGAGACGGAGTTGCTGGAGTCGGGGGAGGGGATGCTGCTGCTGAGCTAGTGCGGCCCTTGGGGTCCTTACCCCCACCGGCCTGAAAGTGCTCCTGCGCACGACCGGGACGGTCCCCGGAGAGCGCAGGTCCTATTTTGTCTTAAGATGACTGGGGCGGCAAGAAGCCCTGTGGCAAGCGCGGGCTCCCGGCCGGGCCCTGGGGTGGGGCAATCGAAGTAGCCAGGGTCCCAGAGCTCTGGCCGAGACTGTCCGCGCGGCGCTGGCGGGCGAGTTTGTCAACAATCGCCTCTCCTGTGGCTGCCGGACCCATAGGCGCCGCCCCCGCCGCCGCTGCCCATTGGCTGCAGCGCAGAGCCACCGCGCGCGGGCCAATTGCGAACGCGGGCACCCGGCGCCGGCGGCGCGGGGA